AAGGAATATACCATAATTCCCATATATTCCCTATTATGGGTCATGCAGGATTTATATCATCAACCGTAGGGAACCTGTAGGATTTATACGGTTTAGCGTTTGGGTTTGGAGCCTGGGGTTCAGAGCGCAGGCTTTAAGGGAGAAAGTAGGGTAGAGGTTACTTAGAGGATCATGGGACTTAGTAAGTAGGTTATAATTGGGGTTATAAGTCCCTTAAGTGGGGTTATCCTAATTATAACCTACTTATAACCTTACTTACTAAGTCCCATGAGCCTTCAAGTAGAGTGATAGAGTTTAGGCTATACAGTTGAGGGTTTCGGGATTATGGTTTGGGGCGTAGGTTTTGTTGATTGAGGGTTCCTGGGTTAGGGTCTAAGGCTCCGGGTTTCGATGTTGAGGCTGTTTTGCAGGGTTTGAGGCCTTTCAAACTGAGATTGCCACAATCCTGCCAGGACACACTTGTAGCAACGGTTTGGATTTAGGGTTCCTAGGTCCTAGACCCCCAACTGTCCTCATGTCAGGTTTTGGACTCAGCTAGCAGCTTTCTCTGAAGACTGTAAGGGTAATTGAGTGTGTTCCTCTCTTTCTCTCTCTCTCTCTCTTTCTCTCTCCCGTCCTCTCTCTTTCTTTACACAACCACGATTGTATACTATATATACATACATATTTGCCTTTATGTATATACATACTATATATATATATATATATATATATACATGTATACATATATACACACACTACCTAAAAACGCACATGGACCCCGAGCGAGACTGCTCGTTCTTGGGCAGAAGCGCAGGCTCGGACTATGGAATGTCGTTCATGGAAGCGTCGCCTACATTTGCAAGCGATACGTGTGAGGGTGGGACCCAGGCAGGCGTCGAATTACTTGTTCTGGCCACCTTCACCGTAAGGGTCCGCGAAATTCCCGAATTATCATATACTCTCCCCAAATACTAACCTGTGTAGCTACGAGTAAAGTAATCTTGGAGGTTCATGGGTAGTTGTTATAAGTAGGGTTATAAGTGGGGTAACTATACTTATAGCCCATATCAGGGGACGATAACTACCCATGAACCTCCAAGTATCACGTACTTGTCCAAGGATTTGTGTTATGTAAAGAAGTCTTACTACCCAGACCCCCGGGAGGATCCAAAAAGTAGATCCCTTAATGGGGGTTCCTATAAACTACCCTTAGTAGTATAGGGCCCCAAATTAGGGGATCTACTTTCTAGATCCTCCCGGGGGTCTGGGTAAGGATGCCTAAAGGGTAGGACCTGCTTATCTAGACTAACATCTTCTCCATTGCACGGCAACCGGTTTGATGTACGAATTGGGGTTTGGCTCTTGGTCTTGCTCCTTGGGTTTGGGGTGTAAAGTAAAAGCCAGAAAGTTGGAATATGATTATCCTAAACCCTTTATGGTAAATTATAGGGTATCCTACCCTGAAACCATATTCCAACTTTCTGGAGTTCCCTTTAGGGTTCAGGGCAGGGCTGAAAGCTGAACTCCCTTCATCCAGGAGTTTCTGACATCAAGCCGTGTGAGCCAAAGCATTTTGTGACAATCTCAAAAACCCAAAGGGCCGCATAAGTTAAGATATGGGGGTTTCCGAAAACTAGGGGTACCTTATTTGGGGGCCTTATAATAAGGATCCTACTATTTAGGGTACTATTATATTAGGGTCTCCTATTTTCGGAAACTCCCATATGGTCCTAGGTAGTAGACCCCTTAAAGGGGACCCTTCTTAACCCTACTTCTGGCTCTCTCAACAATATATCCCCAAGCGTCCCTTGACCTATGCCCTATACTCAAGGGTCATTCCAGTGTTTGGGTCCTGCCAAGCACTATCATCCAATAAGGACCCCTAGGTATATACCCTTAATATGGCAGTTATATACCCATTGTATAGCCCATTATAGGGTAGGGGTCCCCATTAAGGGTCCCTCGTTTTCCCTACTAAACCCTAAGCCCCCCCAAACCTCTAAACCCTAAACCCTATACCGTATAGCCTTCTAGCATCCCTATAGATCCCTTATAGAACCCTTATAGATCCCTTTAAAGGGACCCTTAAAGGGTCCTTCCTTTTCCCCTGTGAGATCAGAAGCAACAGGAGAAGGCCCGAACCCTGCCCTGGTCTTCCGAATGGAGATATATGGGAGTTTCCGAAAATTAGGGGTACCTTAGGGTTCCTTTAAAGGGCTACTATAAGGGTTCCTTAAAGGGATCTATAAGAGTTCTGTGAAGGGTTTAGGGTCTAGAGTTTCCGAAAATTAGGGGTCCTCATTTTGGGGTCCTTATAATAAGGTTCCTATTGTTTAGGGTACTATATTTAGGGTCCCCTATTTTCGGAAACTCCCATATGGGTGGTTGTCAAAAACCACTGAAGCCCCAAACCAAGACCTCCTTCAAGCCTTACCCAAAGGCCCACAAAGTAGTTCCTTCTTGGGGTTCATATGGGTGGTTGTCAAAATTATGGTCTCTTTTTGGGTGCCCTAAATAGTACGTGCCGTAGTATTATAAGGACCCAAAAAGGGACCCTAAAATTAGCTTAAATCGGTACTACGATTGATGATATAAACCCTGCATCACCCATAATAAGGAATATACCATAATAGGGTCCTTAAGGTATTGCAGGATTTATATCATCAACCGTAGTACTATTTGGGGGTTCCTTACTATAATAAGTATAGATTCATTAATCGGCCCCAAAACCCTATTCTAATTACTAAGGCTCTATACATTCTTGGAATGCTCAGCTGCCTGAGCTCGAGCGATTCAATGTCTGCAAGACATCATCTGCAAGTTGTATATGGCCTACTATATACTGTTCCGAGTGCACAGGTCTGCGTGACTAAAGATTTGCTTTAAGCCATTGAGACCCATATGCATATATATATATATATATATGGTCACCCCCCCCGTTGACAGACCATGCCCTTTCAACTCAGTCGTAGTGCATGGTCTGTGATCGGGGGAGGGGGCACTCAGCTTTCAAAAAACTCAATTCCAAAATTTCCAAAATTTCCAAAAGTTTCCAAAATTTCCAAAAAGTCCGCCCTTATGTTTTGGAAAAATACTGTCCACTAGGTCGGGCCGTTTTGGAAATTTTGGAAATTTTGGAGATTTCGGACATTTCGGAAATTTTGGAAATTTTAGAAATTGAGGAATTTCTGGAAAATTTGGAATTTTGGATATGTTGGAATCTCTGGACCTTGGAATTGATTCTCAGGAGGGCTGATTGTGACCCATCCGATGACAGACCATGCACGACTTACTTGCAAAGGCAAGGGCTGTCAATACTCATGCCCATATTTAGACGAGTATCTCTCTATCTATCTGTCTATCTATATATACATATATGTATCGATACTCCTACATATAGTATTGCCACTGCTAATACTGACATTGATCATTTGTTGAATGCTCAAGCTAATACCAACATTACTACTAATTTTACACTTCTGTAAAGCTTAGTACGAATATGCATAACACAAATATTAATATTGATTAGTATTGCTATTAGTACTCCTACGCATATCAATAACCATATTCATCTTGATAATAGTGTATTTTAATACCAATACTAACACACACCTGTATGTGCTAATGTACATAAATATGCATACCACTATATTAAAATACAAACCCTTTAACTCACTCATGTATTCAACTGTTAGAATTTCACGTGATCAAGAGTAATAATAATACAAACAATCTTGCGCATGCAGATCATCAACAATATTATAGTACGAACGCTAACACTACTGCTAATACTTAACACAAAATTTATACTAACATCAATATTTACATAGCTATTGATACTCCTACGAATACGACGAATACGTAAACTCTTGTGCGTTAACAGTAGTGCTATCACCAACACGAATACGGACTTTGATAATCTGCTGAATATTCAAGAATGCCACTAGTATTACCAGCATGCACACGCATATTATGGCTAATACGAGTATCAATAGTCCTATTTCTAATAATATTGACAACAATACTCCTACGAATACCAATAGTATATTCATATTGATATGAAAATTAATATCATTACCAATAGACACCTGTATATTTACTAATGTACATAAAACATACCACTATCTTAAGATACAGATATATACATCAGTGCATTCATGTATTAGTGCTTTGGCATAGGCATATACCCATATACCAATGTAACAATAGACTTCTCGTTGTTGTATGAATATACTATACGAATATGTGACTATACTCATATACGACTACTGCACTATGCAAGAATACCGACATGACAAGTTCGTATACTAATATGCCAACATACTGATATACTTATAAATGATTAGATGAAACAGTAATATAGTACACATACTCGTATACTAATATGCTAACGTACGAATATACTGGTATGTCAATATACTACAGTAGTAAGCTAATACAGCAATATAGTAGTGTATTCATGCACCAGTTGTACTAACATGTAAAATAAACTAGTATACAAGTATGCAAATATTTTACAGTTCGAATACATTGATGTATTGATATACTAATCTGCGAGTATACGAGACTATCAATATACTAACATATCAAAACTAACTAGTTCTAATATTGATACTAATACTAGCACTTCTGCGAATATAAGCTGCTGTTAAACCCAGCATTAAGACTGATACTGATACTACTCGTAGCATTGGTGCTGTATTACTGACATTGACACTGGCACTAGCGCTAACTCTAACACGAACATGAGCACTAACACTAATTTATAGTTGGCAGTATTGATATGTATACTTACAGCAAACAATAGTGCTAATGTTAGTAAGAACACTCACCCTAATACCGATACTACCACAAGACTATTACGTAACTCATGTGCCGCACGTCTGGTCCTATACTATGTACCTCATGTAAAGGGTTTGCCTCATAGAATATCGTCGTGCGCGGTGTTTTTTAGACCCGCGGTCTGTCAATGGGGGGGGTGAGCATATATCTATGGTCACCCCCCCCGTTGACAGACCATGCCCTTTCAACTCAGTCGTAGTGCATGGTCCAACTTGGCCCAGGACGCAGCTTTGGACGGCTTTGCCCTCGGCGACTTCGCGGCCAGCTGTCTGAAGCGGCGCGAGGCCGGTGGCTATGCCAATGCCTGGGGCATTAAGCTGCAAGAAGTACTCACTCCTCGACCGGACCAAGTTGGAATCCTGCGCCGTGGTGTCAATCAAGCTGGATGCAGCACTCCGGAGCTGGCCTGGCCTCTGCCAGGAAGCACATACACTGGCATGCAAGCTGCGCCGTTGTTCTGCCGAGCGTCTCGGTGAGGCAGTACCCCGCCAACTGGATACTTGGCTAGGAATGCCAGTGCATCACTGGCTCGCGGAGTGGCAAAACATTGTGTTCCAAAAGAAGTTGGACGTGCTGATGGTGCGAGAAGGGGTGCAAATCGAAGCCCGTCTCAAGCAGGACTGTCCGTACCCGTTTGCATCATTGCCTGTAGCGTGGGGGTAGGGCCTTCAGCTTCAGCGTGTGTTTGAGGACGTGGGGCTGGAGCCAGTCCTGATGCTGCTGTGCGCTGATTGATGTGAGCTGGCGCCGGAGTCGCAAAATCATCATGTGCTCAAGACGCAAGCCAAGACGTAAGCAGCAGTTGTTTGCAGTTGCAGCGGAGCTTTGGACCTGACATGCATGACATCACGCAGCCATTTTCAGAGCAAGCAACGAACGACATCATACCGCGCGGCCTAGACTATCATGTCCCTGTTCAGCGTCGTCCCTTGCTTGGACGAGATGAGTGACGACCAGCTGGGTGCGTTGCTACGCCGCCACCTTCAAGAAGTGCAGGTCGCCCAGGACGGGTGCAACAATGCAGGTTGTGGCGACGACTCCGAGCAACATCGCCTTTTGGGCATCTGTGATGCTTCAGCGATCCAGAAGGATCTCAAGCAGGCCATCAGCGATGCCCTGAACATGCACGTGAAGATCAAGGCCATTGAGCGGCTCGGCGACGCGAAACAAGCAGAGGCGTTCCTGCGCCTACTGGGAGTGGCAGCAGATGCCTCGCTCGGGGACATGAACAAGGCAATGGTCCGCTGGAGCCTACGTCTTCACTCTGACAAGCTCCAGCCACTGTTGACACGGGCCACGACCCTCCCAGCAGCTTCCAAAACCAAGGCCTTGGAGGCCTACCAGCTCCTCCGTGGACTTTTTGAGAAGGTTAAGGAGCAGCTCTGCCCCACGCAGGAGCCCATCCTGACGGAAGTGCAACACCTGTCCGTGGTTGCGGGAGAGGACGACCGGGGGCGCTATTTCGACTTGACCTGCGCCTGCCTGGATGATGACGAGGCAGCACTGGGGGTGACCATCGTGGTCGACATCCCCGAGCCGCTGCCCTTGGATGAGCCGGCTCTGCACGAGTTGCAGCCCCTCGAGGACGAGGAATGCATTGCCGGCATCCGCATCTACGAGGAGGAGTACTCGTGGCCAGGTTCGACGTGCAACGGGTGCTTGCGAGTCAAAGTTGTGTTGCATGCAACCTGACCAGTATGAGAGGAAGATCCCTACTTGTGATGGAATGCCACGCAGGCACGTGGCACACCGCAGAGCATAGTGCAGCCAGCGCCTGTGTTTGCAGTGCTGTTGGCTACACCAGGAGGATATCGCCCGCTGGCATCGAGTGTCGCGTCCAGGGGGGAACTGGAACCCTCCGCGGGCGACACCTGTATGGTGGCCATGTCAATCGCCGCCGAACATTGGCGTTTGTTGAAGCTGACAGAGGCATAGCGGAGGTCGGGGACGCCCTAGCATCGCCTATATGATGCAACCGTCAGGATGGAGCGCTGGACTTACATCCAACTTTGGCTGCGTTTCTCGAGCACCTCAAGGTTCAGGCCGGGCGCATGCGTGCGCCTGAAGAAAAAGGGGGCAGCTCGCGGCTATGCATTGCATCGTGCCAGGATCAATACGCTCTTAGTTTGGGCACGTACATTGGAGAGTTGGAGCTGGGTCTGGCCAAGTGCGAGCGCAAGTCACATGCACCGGTCAGAGCTTGTGGTCAGAGCTTGTGGTGTGCGGAACTGAGATACCTCCGCTCCTTCCCGCCGCGGCGATCGTGAGCAATTTCGATTATAACTCCTTGCAGTGCGGCATATCCTGATAATATATAGGAACAGCGTGCGTCTAAAATGGCTGGGGGATCTGCCCTTGGTTCCCGCAGTCATGGGCTCGCAGCCAAAAGCAGGCACCATGCATGCATTGATGCTTCATCTCCGCAGCTTTTCAGGTTCTTGAACATTCCTTTGCGCCACTAACCGTAGCCATGGCCATCATCCCCCAGGCACTGAAGCTCATTTGCCCGGCTACCTTGGGCTCGAGCTCGCCGATCCTGCAGTGCTTGAACAACTTGGACTTCTTGCCAGTGGATGCCACGGGCCGGCACTACCAGCCGACCGTGGTAAAGGCCGGCGTGTGCTACGAGCACCTGGGAGGCAACCAACATGAATGGATGCTCTATGTCACGGAGCAGCACTCGCAGGCACTCACCCGTTTGGCTGTTACCCGCGGCCACGGTGCAGCCTACTTGGGAACCCACAGCCCTCAGACGTGGGTGTGTGCCGCTACGGGCAAGGAGCTTTAATTCAGGGTTGCAGCTGCAGCCCACGCATGGTACAGCCGCAACGTCCGCTGCACCAAGTGCGCCGCCGGCCGCAATGAGCGCTGTGGCACCAGACCCGACCACTACAATGGCTCACGTACTCAGTACCCTCGTGGGACAAATGCAGGGCGTGGCTCAAGCCCTCACCGAGGTCAGCAGCAACTTCCGAGCGCTTGCGGGCTGTGCAGATGCCCAGGACGGGTGGCGCCAAACGCAGGACGAAGCCTTGGCGCAGCAGTTCAAGATAAACGAGCAGCAGAGCCAGGTCAACCGGGACCTGAAACATGGCCTGGAGATCGCCATGGAGGAGGTCGCCCTACTCCGCACGCAGGTGGCCAACCCGGAGGCTGCCAAGATGTTGCTCCAGATCAATCTGTTTCAGCAGGTCATCAACCTTGACCCCAAGTCGCCTCAGCACCCGGTGATTTGGCACGAGCGCTATGGCCAACACCGCATGTGGTTGACTCAAGGCATCGTGCCCTTGGAGTCCAAGGATGCTGGCATTATCAAACACTGAGCACCGCGCGCGCAAAGGCCTGGTGGATGCGGAGCACATCTGGGAAGGGCACTTGGAACCCGCGGCACTGAGCATATATATGTATATATATATATATATATATATATATGTGCTACCCCCCCCCAGATACCAATAGAATTGTGTGTTTTGTGCTCTAAACCCTGCAATTCATGACACCAAGACACTCGAAGGTCTCAGATACTTCTAGTGCACGACCAGAAGGTGATTTTGTTCATCCCCTAGATCCCGCAATTCAAGACGCATGCATCCAGGAGGCGCTTAATACAGGGCCAGGCAAGCCTGACTACATTGATGCCATACACATACAGGATGCTTCAGCACATGGTAGGTAGTAACGGTTTAATGGCACCCTCTGTATTACTTAGACGTGCCTCTAATCTATCACCCCTCCTTCCTTATCACACGCTAATAATAGTACAACCCTAACACCAACAACTACCACTACCACTCCTCCTCGTGCTGCTGCTGCTATTACTGCTACTACCACATTACTACATGTTTAGTTAGGTCTATGTGTTTCAGCGTCATTCCACATCTTGCCCCAAATGTATCCAGGCGACCTTTTCCTAGACCATGTCTTCTCACCATATTGCTCCTAAATTTCGTATCATGATATTAAGCTAAATCCTGTCACATATCCAACTATTATCAAGATGGTCATAACAAACCATCACAAGAACCGTACTACGACTACAATCTACTACTGATACTACTACTACTACTACTACTACTACTACTACTACTACTACTACTGCTGCTACTAACTACTACTACTACTACTACTACTACTACTACTACTACTACTACTACTACTACTACTACTACTACTACTACTATCACTACTATCACTACTACTACAACTGCTACTACTACTACTACTACTACTACTACTACTACTAGTCAATCCATAGTATTAAACACGATTACACTGTACCTTTATCCTGTTATACTACTACCGCCATACCCTTATGCTAATCATCATATTCCTGCCACAATGCCTTAAGCAAGCTTTTCCATCCTATCATAAATCAAAAAGCTACCCATATTTATGGGTTTAGATGTAATTAAGGACACAGTATTAACATATCATTCACTTACATCAGTCTATCTCATTTACCTAACACACGTAAACAGTGCTCACTGAAGTAATCAAATATCACACTCATCACCCTAAACATAAAACGTCAGTGAGACTGGCAACCAGAAACAAAACACACCCTTCTACCATCTCCAACAAACACTTACAAAAATAAGGGTACATCAACTAATCATAGTGAACCCCAGAAAGTTGGAACATTGATTTAGGGTGATTAGTGTTTGATTTACTTTGCCTTTAGTATAAGGGCATTAGGATACTGATGTTTCAACTTTCTGGAGTTCACTGTCGAATAATTTACAATGAAACCAGATCTCAAGTTGACGGCAAAACAAAAATCTGCTGTAAGTCAAAGCTAACAGAGCGCGAGAAGAAAATCTGCAGTGCGTTTTGCGCGGGCGCCGCGCGCGTGACGGAAACCTTCCAAAAGATCGTTTGATTGAGACAGTACAGTGGTTTCGTTAATTTTATTGTAAAAGTGCTGTACTGTCCCAAAAAAAATCAATCCTTTTTTGCAAAAGTGCTGTACTGTCCCAAAAAAGCAAAAAAAACAATCTTCTACAGTCTTGGAGCAGCTGCCGTGTAGGGGCCTCCAATAGATTGGTTTTTTTGGGACAGTACAGCACTTTTGCAAAAAAGGATTGTTTTTTTTGGGACAGTACAGCACTTTTGCAAGAAAAGCAACAAAAAACACTGTACTGTCCCAAAAAAACCAATCCTTTTTTGCAAAAGTGCTGTACTGTCCCAAAAAAACCAATCTATTGGAGGCCGCTACACGGCAGCTGCTCCAAGACTGTAGAAGATTGTTTTTTTTGTTTTTTTTGGGACAGTACAGCACTTTTGCAAAAAACGATTGGTTTTTTTGGGACAGCACAGCGTTTTTTCTAGTTTGCGGGGAAGTGTGATGCAGAGCGAGTACTCAAGTGCTGAGCATCCTGCTGCTATACTCAAAGTGGTGCAAGCGCCCTCTAAGGCCACAAAACGTTCATGGAGAGTCTTGTCACAAGTCTCGGCCAAGAGGGTGCTCGAATGCTCT